TTTTTTCGCGCTTCGCGCGAAATCTTGCCCCCCCCTGGCTAAAATCCTTTGTACGCGCCTGGTTGTAAATAATTATTACCGCTCTTTGACCTGCAACATTACCGACCTATGATTCCATCAACAGAGGGACGCTAAGTTACTTTACGTCCCTTCGGACAATTAAGTAAAATAACATTTTCTCATCTCAAATGACGATAAAATTGTGTACAACTGATTTTTCGGGAAATTACAAATTTTACTTGACCAGAGGGGTAAAGTAGTTGTTAATAAATATTACCGCAGTTAAACTATAGAACCATGAAGCCAAGTCGGTAAAATAACGACCCGCTCTGAGAGGTGTTCGTGAAAAAGCGCACACATTTCATCCTAAAACACAATACAATTTTGAACAAATCTAATTTAGCCGGTTATTAAATACAAATATATCAACAGAGAGACGTACAAACATATATGTATAAAGATATTAAATCTTCTTAAAAGTAGATGGTATCAAAAACAAATTTCACTAACAAAAATTATTTAAAAGAAATAAGAATTTCTTCAAAAGTTCTTGTCTAGTTCTTTGGAAACATAATAGAAATGGAATGGGCTATTGAACTTGCACTAAGGTAAATATCTGTTTAGAACTTTAGGAAAAGTAATTTTAAGATTACTTTAAAACTCAAAAAAACTATTTTCAGTTTTTTTGTCGTTTCTTACTGAAATAAAATTTTTTTTTAAAGATTAATTCAATTTACAGTTGTCAAGATAATGATATGTACAGGGTGTCCCAATAAACATGGGAATTCAGAGACGAATTTGAAATCGTCTTCGCAAATAATTAGCGTTGTGTTACCTAATTTCAATGGTCAAAATAATGTTACGCCTGCTAGAGTATATTTTATGTAAACGGTATAAGACTGTTAAAAAGTTGTGCGATGTTCTTTAACATTTTTGCAAAACAGTGAAAAGAAACAACATGTACTGTGTTTGTATACACGAATTTCTGCTATTATTAAGTACAATACAGTATGAAATAAAAACATAAACAAACAACTGAAGTTTAGCAGACGGATTTAAGCTTTATTATGGGGCAATATCAAAATCGTTGCGGAATTCTCATGTTTATTGGGACACCCTGTATCTAACTGGATGTTTTCAAAACAACTTTGAAAATTACACATTTTTCACTATTTTACCTACACGCTACTGTACTCTTTACTTTACATCATTGTTAATCTTGTTAGGTTTTAAGTTACAATAAACCTGTGTTAAACTTGTTATGTTTTAAGTTACAATAAACCTGTTGCTGCAACCATGTGTATTGGTCCCAAGGGAGACACTGATGGAGTTCAACCTGAAGAATGCGCAGTCAGGTAACAACATCTCAGTCAACTCTTTCTAATGTTAAATCTATTGTGGGAAATGTCAACTTAAAATTTGAGGGAGCCTTCGATATTAGTGATTCCTTCGGGGTGGGACTATACCATGGCAAATCCCCTAGGAATTCATTTAACCCCTGGGAGTGGGACTACACATAGATACGGATGATTATCGAGAATCGCAACAAAAAAGTTTTTACCCCGGCTCTGGATAAAAATGCTAGCTTTTCTGATTTTATATAGATCTTATTTATTAACTAAATATTCATGACAAAAGTTAATTTTGATTTAACCCATTTACTAAATATTGATGTGTTTTAAATGTAAAGTTTTTTCTATATCTAAAAAAAAATTTTATTTTAAAAAATTCTTCACAAAATCCATTATGCATTCCATCAATATTTATTTATGTTTATGTTATAATAATATTCTAATAAAGGTTCATAAGATTCCATCAAAGTATTGTTTGGTGCGTAAACTTGGTTTTGTATTTTTAAGAAAGTGAATGATATTCTTTGAAAGTTTTCAAGGGCCACCAGTTGGCAGTCTGGGGGGAGGGTAGATCTTTTTAGATAAAGCCAATTTAATGATACATTTTTTCTGACATTTTAGAACTACATCTCTAAACAGTTCTTATACCTGCATATTTTCATAATTAATATACAATATTAATATTAATGGAATTTGTGTTAATTTGGATAATCATTAAATTCCTAACTTTTTACTCAATTTAGAATGGCTCGTGCAGGCGCTCATATAATTGGTACTAACTGTAAGTTTGATCCATTCATCAGCTTGGAAACTATGAGACGAATGAAAGCTGGACTTGATGCAGAAAATCTTCATCCCTATCTAATGTGCCAGCCTTTAGGATTCCGAACTCCAGATGTAAACCACTTTGGAGGTTTTCATTTACCAGAGTTCCCTTTTGGTGAGTTTTACCTGCTTTATACAATGGGATCGACTAGGTTTTCAGCGGACAAAAACTTTCGGGAAAAAATGCGAAAATTTTCTTTCGTACTTTTCGCAAAATTTCGCATTTTCTCGCAAAAATTAATTTTGCGAAAGAAAGCTAAAACGATGCAAAATTTCGTGAATAAATGAAATCCGCGAAAAACTATATTGCTGCATGCAGCTGCAACAATTGATTGTGCACACAAAAAATGCGTGGAAATATCTGCTCAACGAGCTCGGCATTACTAGTTTTGTTATATTATAAGTAGTAATTTCTCTTCCTTTGATAAAGGAGGAAATTTCTTTTCGTGCAATATTTGTGCATTTTTTTTTTTCGCGAATTGTTTGCATTTTTTGTTCCGCGAAAATTTCACATTTTTCCGCGAAACAGATTAACGCAGAATTTCGCGGAAAAGGGAAATTTTCCATTTCGATGAAACCGGAAACCTTAATAGAAATCATAAAACTATGAAATTGAAAGACACGTGGTTAGACTCAAATTGTGATGTTTGTTTAATACAAAGGGATCCCATAAAACTGAGAAATAGAAAGACAAAGGTTAGACTCATATTGTGATATTTGTTTAATACAAAGGGATCCCATAAAACTGAGAATGGAAAAACGACTGTTTGGCTCAAATTTTGATATTTGTTCAATACAAAGGGATCCCATAAAACTGAGAAATGGAAAAACGACTGTTTGGCTCAAATTGTGATATTTGTTTAATACAAAGGGATCCCATAAAACTGAGAAATAGAAAGACAAAGGTTAGACTCATATTGTGATATTTGTTTAATACAAAGGGATCCCATAAAACTGAGAATGGAAAAACGACTGTTTGGCTCAAATTGTGATATTTGTTCAATACAAAGGGATCCCATAAAACTGAGAAATGGAAAAACGACTGTTTGGCTCAAATTGTGATATTTGTTTAATACAAAGAGATCCCATAAAACTGAGAATGGAAAAACGACTGTTTAGCTCATATTGTAATATTGTTTAATACAAAGGGATCCCATAAAACTGAGAAATGGAAAGACGACTGTTTAGCTCAAATTGTGATACTTGTGTAATTCAAAGGGATCCCATAAAACTGAGAAATGGAATGACGACGGTTAGACTCAAATTGTTATATTTGTGTAATTCAAAGGGATCCCATAAAACTGAGAATGGAAAGACGACTGTTAGACTCAAATTGTTATATTTGTGTAATTCAAAGGGATCCCATAAAACAGAGAAATGGAAAGACGACTGTTAGACTCAAATTGTGATTTTTTAATACAAATACAATTGTAGAATAAAAAGACAACTGTTAAGAGCCAAGTTACGAGTAAAGTCCAATCAACATTAAGTCATATAACACAGTAATTGTTTAGTTAACAGAGTTTACAGAGTTTACAGAGTTTACAGAGTTTACATAGTTTACAGAGTTATCAGAGTTTACAGAGACCCAGTTTACTTAATAAGTTGATTTTCAAGGCACAGGTAAAGCTATTTGCTTTATATCATTAGCAAATACACACATGTTGTCTTCCTACTCCTCAGTACTATGGATCCAGCATATCTGATGGGTAGCCCATAATATACGAATACGATAGAAAGAGTTAAATGCAACTGCTCCCGTCACAATTTAACTACTAGAGTTTTTTTTTCGCAACTACTCCAGTCGAAATTTAACTACTTTACATCACACACAAAATTTAGGGCAAAACATTAATAATAAACAATAAATTGGTAAGGAATAAGAAGTTATTTATCCTACTGGTAGCCCTAAGTAAATAAGGATCAAGACAAGTTAAAAATAAAATGATGTCCAGTAGTGAAATTAATTTTCAATTATTACATTATTTTCAGCAATGGAGCCGAGACAGATTACAAGGATTGAAGCTGCTCAGTTTGCTAGGGAAGCATATCATCTTGGTATCAGAGTTATTGGAGGTAAACATTGCTATCATTAATGGAGCCGAGGCAGATTACAAGGATTGAAGCTGCTAGGTTTGCTAGGGAAGCATATAATCTTGGTATCAGAGTTATTGGAGGTAAACATTTCTATCATTAATGGAGCCAAGACAGATTACAAGGATTGATGCTGCTAAGTTTGCAAGGGAAGCATATCATCTTGGTATCAGAGTTATTGGAGGTAAACATTTCTATCATTAATGGAGCCGAGGCAGATTACAAGGATTGATGCTGCTAGGTTTGCTAGGGAAGCATATAATCTTGGTATCAGATTATTGGAGGTAAACATTGCTATCATTAATGGAGCCAAGACAGATTAGAAGGATTGATGCTGCTAAGTTTGCTAGGGAAGCATATCATCTTGGTATCAGAGTTATTGGAGGTAAACATTTCTATCATTAATGGAGCCAAGACAGATTACAAGGATTGATGCTGCTAAGTTTGCTAGGGAAGCATATCATCTTGGTATCAGAGTTATTGGAGGTAAACATTTCTATCATTAAAGACAGATTACAAGGATTGATGCTGCTAAGTTTGCTAGGGAAGCATATAATCTTGGTATCAGAGTTATTGGAGGTAAACATTGCTATCATTAATGTCTGAAAGCATTCAATCGAAATAAAGCATTATTCCACATATCTGATTGATATGTTTTTAAACCAAAATGTATTCTGTTTTCGAACCAAAAGGTGGAAACTTGATAGATAAATAAATAAACATAGGCAGCTTATGTACGCATAATCACCAAGAATTGTACAATCCGCGAACTCGTACTTCTAGGGGTCAAAGTGTACTTGAATGATTAGCGGGGTGGTTTGCTGTTTTAATGGATTTCATAGATAAATAAATAAACATAGANGGAAGGACATCTGAATCCCTCCAGTGGAATGTAAATCACCCTGCGTAAAGTTTTAAATTGTAAAAAGCATTTTTTGAAACCCCTCCAGTGAAAATAAAATCCCTCCGGTGGTCTCCAGTAGAATCGAAATCTTACTACGAACTTCTTTGAGTCCTATTCTACAACGTTTGTTCTTGATATCCAAATCTACTGTGAAAACTATTAAATTCTTCAGTCTTAGTTATCCATGCTAGGACCGAATTTAATGAATTGTAGATGTCACTGAACTATCTATATCGGCAGTTCAAATCCTGAATCAGCGATTCAACCCCCCATGAGTTTTTAGCTTTGAATCGGTGATTCAGGATCCGAATCGGCGGTAAATAATTCAGCGAACTAGCTCAAATTCATTAATTCTGGTTCCTGATCTGAGTTTATATATCCCTGATCTGAGTTTATATATCTATGTTCTGGATTTCTGATCAATATCCAAGATAGAATAATTCGAATCTTAATAAGAACAACAAAAGTAATGATTTGCTTGTATGAAGGATTAAAAACACACAAGTTTAGACTAAAATATATAATTTAAAGGGACTGTAAGCGTAATTTCAATTGACCCTCTGATCTAAAGTCTGGAAGATATCGTCGTTTTTATGACTTGAAAAGTGTTTATTTCTGTGAGTTCCTCCATTGCATCTATTAAGCAAGAAATGCGTGGGTCACTTTTGCAGAAAACCCGATATCTAAAATAAACAGCTTTTAAGGGTATCATTTTAATTTGGGCAATGCCGTCTTTTCACGGAGGGTTACTTGAAATTACGCTTACAGTCCCTTTAAACTTAATTTCAAGGTTGCTGCGGCATTGAATCACATCATATCCGAGCAATGGCCGAGGAGCTGGCAGTAGAGCGGGGAGGGCTACCTGAAGGATCTAGGAAGTCAGATCATGATTTGTCAACCCTCAAGAAAAAAGGAGATATGGGCAGGGACGAGTTCAAGATGAAGTAAGGAATATTATTAAAGAAAGGGGATCAGGATTGTGTATAGGTCTTATATTCGAAACTATGCTCTGTCTCTTCTCCTAAGACAAAGATTAATATTTTAGATTCATCATTTCATTTAATTGAGATTACAGTTAACATTAATAACAAAGAGAACAAAAAATTTTAAATTGACATTTAAAAAAGATCTCTAATTTTACCGTGACTTTTAGATCAGACTTGTACTAGTCCGTAGATCAGACATGTACTAGTCCACAGATCAGACATGTACTAGTCCGCAAATCAGACTTGTACTCGTCCGCAGATCAGACATGTACGAGTCCGCAGATAAGACTTGTACTAGTCCGCAGATCAGACATGTACTAGTCCGCAGATCAGACTTGTACAAGTCCGCAGATCAGACTTGTACTAGTCTGCAGATCAGACTTGTACTAGTCCGTAGATCAGTCATGTACTAGTCTGCAGATCAGACTTGTACTAGTCCGTAGATCAGACTTGTACTAGTCCGTAGATCAGACATGTACTAGTCCAAAGATCAGACATGTACTAGTCCAAAGATCAGACTTGTACTAGTCCAAAGATCAGACTTGTACTAGTCTGCAGATCAGACATGTACTAGTCCAAAGATCAGACTTTTACTAGTCCGCATTTCAGACTTGTACTAGTCCGAAGATCAGACTTGTACTAGTCCTAAAGTTTTCTCGCAAATAAAAATGAGCCCGTTCGGTTTGTTTTCAATTTGTTTGTTTGTTAACGACCCAGTTCGATTCAGAAATTGCTCGTTAACAGTCTGACGGATTAATAAATGCGAACGATTAATAAAAATTTCTAATAGTTTTTTGTTCGTTAGTTTTGAAAATAGACTATCGTTTTTTTTCTCTGAACGATCGCATTCGTTCGTGAATTTTTCTGAACGACGTCAATTTCTTTCATTTTGAAATATTTCGTTCGTTAACGTAAGCGATGCCCATTTTCGGCGATACTTTCTGTAATTCTAGGGGAAGTAAAGCATATTTTCACTTCTAGGGGAAGTAAAACATATTTGTACTTCTAGGGGAAGTAGAGCATATGTGCACTTCCAGGGGAAGTAAAACATATGTGTACTGCTAGGAGAAATAAAGAATATGTGTACTTCTAGGGGAAATAAAGAATATGTGTATTTCTAGAGGAAGTAAAGAATATGTGTACTTCTAGAGGAAGTAAAGCATATGTGCACTTCTAGCGGAAGCAAAGCATATGTGTTCTTCTAGGGGAAGTAAAGCCTAATTGCACTTCTAGGGGAAGTAAAGAATATTTGTACTTCTAGAGGAAGTAAGGCATATGTGTACTTCTAGGGGAAGTAAAGAATATTTGTACTTCTAGGGGAAGTAAAGCATATTTTTACTTCTATGGGAAGTAAAGTATATTTGCACCTCTATGGGAAGTAAAGAATATGTGTACTTCTAAGGGAAGTAAATTATATTTGTACTTCTAGGGAAAGTAAAGCATATGTGTACTTCTAGTGGAAGTAAAGAACATTTGTACTTCCAGGGCATGTAAAGAATATGTGTACTTCTAGGGGAAGTAAAGAATATGTGTACTTTTACGGGAAGTAAAGAATATTTGTACTTCTAGGGGAAGTAAAGAATATATGTACTTCTAGGGGATGTAAAGAATATGTGTACTTCTAGAGGAAGTAAAGCATATGTGTACTTCTAGGGGATGTAAAGAATATGTGTACTTCTAGAGGAAGTAAAGAATATGTGTACTTCTAGGGATGTAAAGAATATGTGTACTTCTAGAGGATGTAAAGCATATGTGTACTTCTAGGGGAAGTAAAGAATATGTGTAATTCTAAGGGAAGTAAAGTATATGTGTATTTCTAGGGGAAGTAAAGAATATGTGTACTTCTAAGGGAAGTTAAGAATATGTGTACTTCTAGGGGAAGTAAAGAATATTTGTACTTCTAGGGGAAGTAAAGTATATTTGTACTTCTAAGGGAAGTAAAGTATATGTGTACTTCTAAGTGAAGTAAAGTATATGTGTACTTCTAGGGGAAGTAAAGAATACTGGCAGAGCTTGATTCCTTGCACGGGAAGACCACTCTCCTCAGCTCTCAATAGGAATTCATTTTATTAGATTTTTATCATGACTTAATTATAACTTTAATGAACTGTAGACGTCATTTCATGTGACATTTTATTTATAGAATAGTATGTATGTACGATTCACATAATTTTCTCTTTGAGCATTGATTATTTTCTACGAAGTGATTTGCGACTGCAACAATTGGAAAAATTGCTTAAAATTTAAAAAAACCTGTCAAGTTAGAAAACGACGACATTCCACACTATTGCCCTTAAAAATCATTTGTTTATCTTGAATGAACATAACAAAAAGTCAGAAAAATTGTCCACTTTTTTCCTTTAGAAGACGACTTATGCCTAGAATTTAAAAATTGAGGTATAGATTAAGTAACAATAACATATTTAGGGTTTTTTTTTACAATAACCCTAAGGCAGAAGCCCAAAGACGTTAAATTACAGATTACAAAGACAGATAGAGATCATGCTCTGCCTGCGCGGAACTTCTTTGGGCTTCTGCCTCAGGATTATTGTGAAGAAAAAACCCCTAAATCTTAAAAAGACGATAAATCTAAAGACGCTTGGTCTCAAAGTCATACCACCAGTAATTTCTGTCACATTAATATAGCTGACATTGAAAAACTTTTTATTATAGTTACAAATTGATAAAATAATTTTGTTATAAAATGATTTGGATAATCAGAACGATGAACCCTGAAGTTGTAGATAGGAGTGTACTAAACTAACTATAGGATCCACCAAGTTTGATATTTTGAATATCAAGTATTAGAAATTGCAAATATAGTGTGAGACATAATGCACTAATCGTTCAGGATAATTAAGAAAACATGAGAAACTTAATTTTTTGTATTTGCACGTTTTTTATTTTTTAACCGATTTTACCTTAAAATACGTACTTAAAATTTCAAATTATTTGTATCCAGTAAAAATTATTTTATATTAAAATAATAAATGATTTGAAAACTAGTTTTTTAACCTACTAGATCGATTGGAGCTACTATAGCTTCTAAATTTACCAGATCTATTAAAACTACTGAAGCTTCCAGAGTTACTAGATCTATTGGAACTACAGCTTCTAGAGTTACTAGATCTATTGGAACTACAGCTTCCAGAGTTACTAGATCTATCATCTATTGGATATACAGTTTCTAGAGTTACTAGATCTATTGGAACTCAAAGTGAATAAATACTGAAGCGGAACAGACTAAGGCAACGACGACAGGTTGGGTCATAAGGTTTTATTTGGTTTGGAAATAATTGCACGAAAAGATTTCTTTTGGAAAGTAAAGACTAGAAAAAATAGACAAAGACCCATGAAAATGTTGTCTTCAGTTAGAACTTTAAAATATTCATAATTAAAATCAAAATTTTTTGTATGTTTGTAGTTTATATGTAAACACTATAAAGTCGCTTAATCAATTCATTGATTTTGCCTGGCACTTCTAATTCTATATGAATTTATCTTTAAAACTGCTTAGTTTTTTTCTTTCAAATCTCAATCCATTCCGAAATATGTTTGTAAATGGGCTATGGGGGCTCATCCCCCTCAGTGGGGACTATGGGGGGGGGGGTTTGGCCTCCCCCCACCCTAAAAAGAAAAAGAAATGTAAGCCCTTCGTGGAAAAAAAACCTGAATACGCCTCTCTTGATATTTTTAAAACTATGTCTAGTTCTCAACCACTCTTAAATCTGTCAAAATATAAAAGTGAAGACCAAGAGATATATTTCAAAGATCTTTATTTTTCGGTATCACAAATTGTGCATTCCTTGTTTTACAGATTATGCATGCAGGCATTATTGTGCTGTCTTAAATTATTTATTGTTCAGTAAAATGGATAAAATTCACTTCTAAAATCTTAATTTACGTTAGTCTAAATTTAAATTAACTACAAATTTTAAATCTGTGTTTGTAAACTGTCTCATTTACTATAATTTCCTCTCATTAAATGGCGCCGAGCCATAGAATGCAAATTATTCGGTCAAATTAAATCAATAATATGTTGATTATTCGTCTATAGTTGTTCTTCAGGTCATTCCTGGTGTCTAGTCTATGGTTTGGCTCTTTTATTCGTCAATTCTAATAGATTTGAGCATCTTTATGTTCGTATAAACAAATATTAACTCAAACCGGTGGGATTTTTCCATTTAATACTGAAACCAATCACACAGGGGCTATCAGTGGTGTTTCAAGTAACCCTCTTTTTAAAGAGTTGAATTTATAATTATTATCAAAGTAACAATGAGATCCTAAAATGAGTTTAATTCCGTAATTTTTGTCTTATAAATCCACGATTCACTTTAAGTTTTTGAGGAGATACTGAATTTATTTTTTTATCGATTGAAAAAAGATAATACCTACTATCTATGCATCGTTTTGGTTCAGTAAACAAGATTTGCGAAAAGAAACAACATCATTTTTACTTCAAATTCCGTTGAACGGTCCTTTAAACTATGCAAAAATGTTCCAAATGTTGACAACGTTTTAGTTGATTGAAAGAAAAAGATGTAGAATAAAGCAAGATTTGATGAAACATTTCTTTTTCAAATCGCTTGAAACTGAAGTTTAAAAAAACTAGGCTTTTACGACGCTTTGCGTTCATCTTCTATTTCATTTGTGAAAATTTTCTCCTTGTATGCATTGTAAAACCAAAACAAACAAAAGTTCGCGGATTTAGAAGAAAGATTACGTGGAATTTGAACATTTATTGGAAATCTAATTTTGTTGGAGGCTAATTTTTGACATTTTTATCATTCATAAACCTTCCTTGGGGTCATGTGAGGTCCCACACAAACTTTGGGCCCAATCGGTTCAGCCGTTTTAACATTTTGACAGACAAGCAAAGTATATATTGATAAAAAACTTTCATATTTTAAATGAATTAGAATAGAAAACCTTTAAGACTCATTTTTAAACCGAGTTGCTTAAAAACTACAATTTAGTTTCCTGTAATCTACAATTAGAATTTTACACTAAAAATACATTATGATAAATTATTTTTGCACTTCACGCTAACTGAACAACAAAAATTACAGAAATGGCGAGAATTTTTTTTTAATTTGCACAAGCCGGGTAGAATGATTTTTTTGCAAATACACACAATGCAAATTTCTTATTTTAGCACTCTGTTTTGCAAAAGTGCATTGACCATTGATGGTAGTTTAATTGAGACTAATCATTATAAATTGGTTCTCATGAACTACCCCCCCCTCCCTTCCCTCCATCTCCCCCTTTTGTTAACTTTCAGCCACCCTTTTCTGTATCAATAGTTACAAATCCTCGCTCGAATTTGCCAGGATGCTGCCCCCACCCCTCCCCCCCCCCTTAAAAAGTGCGACATTTAAACTTTTTGTCCTCAAAAATTTAAAAAATTTAAGGAAAAGAAATATTTTTAGAATAAGATAGATTCACAAAATTCATGATAAATATGTTTACAGAAATTTGTAAAACATTTCGTGTTTTCTATAAACGCAAAAATAACATATACTATAACAAAATTATGTTTTTTATCTATTATAATAAAACAAGACATTCGTATATATATATGTTGCATATAGCCGGCCAAACGGCTGGACCGATTGGACTGAAATTTTATGTGGACATTGGACACTCATGGGTGGCCGGGGGTGTTAGAATAGGCAACAAAAATTTGAATTTTTTTTCAAAATTAAAAAAAAAAATTATCCACGGGCAACGCCGGGCCCTCCAGCTAGTATAGAATACAATAATAATAATATATAGTAATTGGAATTTCTTTGCCAAGGTATTCGTTCTTTAAAAGACTAACTATCTATCTATCTATCTATCTATCTATCTATCTATCTATCTATCTATCTATCTATCTATCTATCTATCTATCTATCTATCTATCTATTAGGGAAAAGCGTACGTGGAGAGAATGGAGGGGAAAATGTAAAAGACGGAAAGTGGGAAAGGGAGAAGGGTACGGGATAGGAGGGAAGAGAAGGGAGAAGGTAAAGGACGGAATGTGGGGAAGGAGAAGGGCAGATTGGGCAGAATGGAAAGGAAAGGACGGAAAGTGGGAAAGCTAGAAGCTGGGGAAAAAGGGTGAAAGAAAATGAAGGTATAGAAAGGGAAGGGGAAATAGAAATGAAAGGGGGAGGGAAAAAATAAGATTAGTGCATGACCAGCCAAAAAAAGGGGGAAAAAGGTGAAGCTGGGGGGGGGGGGGAGGATAACTATTTAAGGTTACATGAATGAAATGCGAATGTTTAAACGCAGGAAATAAATAATTAATTTAACAAATTGGTTAAAAAACACTTTTTTAAAGGGAATGTTTTCAATTCTAAGTAAATGCTAACCTAATTTAAATATATGGGTTTTATCATTATTCGACAAATTGACAACGTTCAATGTCAATTATTTTTTTAGAAAAGAAGCTCTCAATAACCGAGAACAGTCCTTTTAAGAAACAATAAAAATAAGAAGAATAAAGAATTTTTTAAAGTAATATTAGGACGAGAATTAGTTGGTTTTAGCTTCAGCTTTAATGTGGAAACCAAACTAATAAAATCATTTGTGTTAAATATTTTCATATTTTCACCACTTACCATTTTTCAGAAATTTTCTTAAATTCCTAATCTCTCTTATTACTAATTATTTTCGAATTCGGCCTAGCGTCAAATTTTTTGAATTTTTATTTTCCTTGCAGACTGCATTATACTTAAAATAAAACTTTCATTTGTGTGCCATGGGTGTCAAATAAGTATTTTTATTGAGATCGAAAATCTTCATTTTAAAGTTTTTAATGCTTGATTTTACAATAAAGATATATTTCTTTTGTTCCTTTTCGAAAAAAATGAATTTTTGTCGATGGGATAAGGTTTTCTGACAAATGTATGTGTCTGTGAGGATTTCGTTATTATCTCGTTTGTAATTTGACAACTAATTCTGTTAGACCAAATAATTTAGGTTTGAAATATTTACACCATCAAATTCCAAAGATAAAGTGATTAGAAAGTTATCGATTGAGGCAAAAATACGTTCCTAAGAAAAAAAAAAATAGTTAAGTATTAGGGGCGTATATATTGACTTGAGTCGAATGTTGGGGGGGGGGGGGGGGGGTCCGGGGCTACAACTTTTCTTGTAATGTTGAGGGGGAGGCTTAGATTTTAGAATAATAGTTAACGAAAGAAATATAGCATTTACAGTCAAAAGTTATGGTCATCTTTTTTTGCGTTAAAATGCGTCAAAATCTAACAAATTAATTTAAGTATTTTGTCTATATTCTGCATCATATTTAATATTGATAAATAGGTTCTACGCAGAAACAATATATTTGTATTTACAGATTCTACGCAGACTTGAATATCTGAGACTAGATCGGTTTTTAATAAAGATAATATCCTTGGATAATATTCAATGAAATATAATCCATCAACTACAAATTACCGAGCAGACTTTCCGCTAGGGTTAATTCAGATTTTTTTTCGTCGAAAATAAAAAGGAAGTAACCTGATAGTTTCAGTTGCAAGATCTCACTCAAAAATCGAGGAGAACTTTGCCAAGGTCTTCTTCAAAACTAAAGTCAATATTTAACAAGTACTTTACGGTTCTAAAATAAGCATGTCCAGGGCTACAAAAAAGTATTATTGATTTAGTGCGGTAAAATCAAAACCCAAGGAGTTGCGACACTTGAAAGTCGACCAGATCTTGAACATTTTTACAACTTTTCAGCATTTAAACTTTGAAGTTCTATTCTTTAAGCCTTTGCAACTTGATTGTGTAAATCTTTTCTATCTATCTATCTATCTATCTATCTATCTATCTATCTATCTATCTATCTATCTATCTATCTATCTATCTATCTATCTATTCTATCTATCTATCTATCTATCTATCTATCTATCTGTCTATCTATCTATCTATCTATCTATCTATCCTATACATCTATCTATCTATTTGTCTTTCCATAAACATCCATCCCTTTCCATCTGATCCATCCAAACATTGAATCCTCCTCTCCAATTATTTATCTATTTCAATTTTCTTTTTACCGCAGACATCCGTCTATTTGCGGGGGCGGAGTAGAATACGATGCCGCCAGGCGGGATGGGTGGCGGCAGGTGGACTGGTATCATCAACACTCCGGTACCGCCAGTAGTCTGGTTTATCTCGAACCGAAGACAAGGCCCCTCTATACCAGAAGTGAACAGAGAGAGAGAGAAAAAGTCGGTGATATTGAAATAATTTCGGGCCATGGACCACGTTCGATAGTGCAACAACGAGGAATAAAAGTGTGCTACTCTATATATACATCTCTATGACCGTGTGTTACTCTATATATAAATATCTATGACTGTGTGAATGTAATCTATGGAAAACGGTATGGTTGCCGGACCTATTCAGTGTAAGGTTAGTAATTAATATTTATCAATTTTGGCTTAACTTCTGTACAGCTGTTACGACTTTGTGACATTTTTGCTCCTCTAGTTTGACTGTATGTACAAGTATGAAAAAAGCAAATTCAAAACAGCACTGTTATCTTCTAAATAGGTCTCCAATAAGAGAAGTTTAGAGAAATTATACAGATTTAAATGTTTCATATTTTTTTATGAAAATAATTTTCTTCTATCGGTAATATCAATTTTACCATTTACGTTGCTTTTCATCAAACCTTATACTTTAAAGTGTCTGGAATTGTAATAACTTAACTTCAGTTTTTATTCTGTTAATTACTACATTTTTCCCGTCTCGCTAAAACCCTAATTTGATGCACATTTGATTCCTTGCTATTTTATAAGATTATTTTTAGCAAACAGGTTGTTTGGCAACTTATAGTTTTGGGGAGATGGGTTAGAGAGATTTGTCAGAGAGATGGGGGAGTCATGACTTTTCCCTTCCCCTTCCCGGNATATATAAATCTATAAATTATACACATATACATATATAAATCTATAAATTATACACATATACATATATAAATCTATAAATTATACACATATACATATATAAATCTATAAATTATACACATATACATATATAAATCTATAAATTATACACATATACATATATAAATCTATAAATTATACACATATACATATATAAATCTATAAATTATACACATATACATATATAAATCTATAAATTATACACATATACATATATAAATCTATAAATTATACACATATACATATATAAATCTATAAATTATACACATATACATATATAAATCTATAAATTATACACATATACATATATAAATCTATAAATTATACACATATACATATATAAATCTATAAATTATACACATATACATATATAAATCTATAAATTATACACATATACATATATAAATCTATAAATTATACACATATACATATATAAATCTATAAATTATACACATATACATATATAAATCTATAAATTATGGGGGCCTAATTGCACACAAAAATAATTGAAATTAATTTATTTAGATGGAGGATAAGAGTGGATCAATGTACCCCTCGGATTGGTGGTGGGCTGAAAGACAGGTGAGATTGATAAAATTGATGAATTCGACCATTTTGTTACATAATGTTTTAGACAAAAATATACTCATGGACTCTATTGCTAGTTGCATAGGATATAATAATTGTATTTACATTTTTCTTCAGAAATAATTTTTACAATTGAATTTGCAGGTGTCAGAAATATTAGCAGAACATCCCGGAGAGCTGATCAAAACCGGTTCCCCTAATGTACTGTGTACTGCACTACCCAACCATTGGAGGTACAGAAAACTGTCTACATTCTAATAACAATTGATTTATGTATAACCATTTAAAATTATATATTTTTGCCTGAGTTTGTTTAGAAACGATTTCACTTTAAATATGTATTAATATAACGCACATTTTACCTGAGGTCGCTACTTTATTGTGGAGTAACGATAATCTTGATCTCAACGATTTCAACGATAATGCTTGATCTCAATATCCGATGTGGGCACTTTTGAATTGGATAATCACTCAATTAAAGTTATTCCTGCAGGGTATGACCACCCATATCGAAGCGGAATTAAATTACTCCCTAGATCTGCATAAGATACAGATCAATGTTTGATCCAGAATTCACAACATAAAAGTTCTGAATCAGGGATACATTGATATATTTTCATATTTTATTTAAACATCATTGATATTACTTTAACATTACTTTTGCACCAATCCACTTACTTAAAAAGTCATTTCTACAGTTAATATGAAATATATTTCAAGGTCGAACAAGACGCTACCCATGGCCTTCAAGGTGATCGCGCTCAGCGATATCGAAGACGGGACCGTGGTGAACCTCAGGGCGGGGAACGATGAGAACTTCTGCGGTGAGCTGAGGAACAACACAGCTGTTATGAAGAACAATGTCGCCAAGTTTAATGATCTCAGGATAATTGGAAGAAGTGGTCGCGGCAAGGAAAGTGGTCGGCCATTTTATTTATAACATTGATCGAATTATAATTTGGGGGTTTTGTCTTTATTTAGGACTATTGATCTGATAACATATGTTTTTGTTGCAACAGGTGACATGTCTCTTTTTCATGAATGCTTTAACAACAAAGACTCAATATTGTGTAATTGATGGATTTGAATTTTAAAATGGCCGCCGTTTTTAGAGCTTCAACCTCGTCATAGTAATCAGCTGTATGCCGGCCCTGGTGGCAGTGTACTCTAAGTGTATAAAAGTTACGGTGGATGGACCCAGGGAGCCTAGAAGTAAGATTAGTAAGTGTTTAGCATATAAACATTATTTACATTTCCCTTCTTTAACACGTCTTTTTAAATTTTAAATTTAAGTACGTACTGTCTAATTTTATGCTTTAAATTGTTTTCGGGCTCTTTAGAAATTTGTATACAACATTCACTTATACATACATACATATATTCTCTGCATATACCATAATAATGTATATATATGTACATTTAATTATTGTCTCATTGAATATTGATAATCACATAGTCGTTTATCTTATCTTAAAATCTATACACATATACATATATATATATCTATAAATTATACACATATACATATATATATCTATAAATTATACACAAATACACATATAAATCTATAAATTATACACATATACACATATAAATCTATAAATTATACACATATATATATATGAATCTATAAATTATACACATATACATATATAAATCTATAAATTATACACATATACATATATAAATCTATAAATCATACACATATACATATATAAATCTATAAATTATACACATATACACGTATAAATCTATAAACCAACACATATACATATATAAATCTGTAAATTATACACATCACATAGATTCAGCCTGCTTATAAACAGTCTCATCAATTTTTAAGACAGGGTCGACACTTTGAAGTGTCGCAACGCACGTGGATTTAACGGTTCTGTCAACAATCCAGAAAGTTTTGACTTACGATTACAATTTGACCCATTAAACATAATTTCTTAACCTTTTTTTGAAAATACTTTTTTGTCGGCATATACATTTTGAAAAGTATAAAATAAACAAATCCGTAAGGTAAAAGGTTGTTGAATTATAGACCAAAACACGTTTGATTTCAAATATATGATTTTCTTTAGCCCTTTAAAGCACTTGTTATAAGCTTTGGTTTTTGAGAAATAATTGGCAAATTCTCATCGATCTTTGCTTGAGAGTTTGGGACCTTTAAGTCACAGTGACATATTTATATGGTTTTTCTTTAATATCAATAATTAATAAGTGTCTCTTTAAATAAGATTCTACATAGTTTTGTAAACAACTGTCTCTTTAATTCTGTTTCTACATATTGTCTGCTGGAAGTAGAAACATGTGTATTATTGGAATTGTAACGGTGAAAGGCAACAATGACAAAGAACACACACAGAAATTTTAGAAATAGATAAATAGAGATAGTGTAGAGATATATAGATAGATAGATAGATAGATAGATAGATAGATAGATAGATAGATAGATAGATAGATAGATAGATAGATAGATAGATAGATAGATAGATTGTATGAGAGAAAAGGTTAAACCTAGGCCAAAATATATATAAATAGATTTAGAGAAATGTGGTTTACCATAGATCAAAACTTGACGATTAAACAGACACTAGATAGTTAAACAGATAGTAGATAGTTAGAAAGATAGTAGATAGTTAGACAGCTAGTAGATAGTTAGACAGATAGTAGATAGTTAGACAGATAGTAGAAAGTTAGACTGATAGTAGATAGTTAGACAGATAGTAGATAGTTGGACAGATAATAGAAAGTAGATAGTTAGACAGATAGTAGATATTTAGACAGATAGTAGATAAGTTAGACAGATAGTAGATAGTTAAACAGACACTAGATAGTCAGACATATAGTATATTGTTAGACAGATAGTAGATAGTTAGACAGATAGTAGATAGTTAGACAGATAGTAGATATTTAGACAGATAGTAGATAGTTAAACAGACACTAGGTAGTCAGACAGATAGTATATTGTTAGACAGATAGTAGATAGTTAGACAGATAGTAGATAGTTAGACAGATAGTATATTGTTAGACAGATAGTAGATAGTTAGACAGATAGTAAATAGTTAAACAGACACTAGATAGTCAGACAGATAGTATATTGTTAGACAGATAGTAGATAGTTAGACAGATATTAGATAGTTAGACAGATAGTAGATAGTTAGACAAATAGTAGATAGTGAAACAGACACTAGATAGTCAGACAGATAGTATATAGTTAGACAGATAGTAGATAGTTAGACAGATAGTAGATAGTTAGACGGATAGTATATTGCTAGACAGATAGTAGATAGTTAGACATACACTCGGACTACGTAGTTAAACAGATAGTAGATAGTTTGACAGATAGTATATTGTTAGACAGATAGTAGATAGTTAGACATACACTCGGACTACGTAGTTAAACAGATAGTAGATAGTTAGACAGATAGTAGAAACAGTGCGTCATAACTTGTGTGTATAGTGTCTATTTAGTACCTTGATATTTCTGTCCAAAAATGTCCATGGCCGTGTCTGAGTGTCCTTGTTCGTCTGTTTGTCTGTGTCCATCCGTGTTTGTGTCCGTGTGTGGTTGTCTGTGTATATGTCTGTGTGGTCCTGTGTAATACAGTGGCCTAAATTAAGACCAATTTGACTTTAGATCAAGCAGCGTTGAATTCAAGCAGTAGCTAGTCAGAATCAAGGCAATACCACCACACCGGGGGATTTAACCGAAAAAGAGTTTAAGGATTCTTAAATTGCCCATCAGACCACCCCCCTCCATGGATATGCCTCCACCCCTCTCCATCGATATGCATCCACCCCTCCACACCCACTTTTTCTCCCAAATAACGATATTCCAATGACTTACTACTGCTACAATGATTTTTCCTTGTCTACTCTTTCTAATCACTCCCAATGACTTTTGATTTTCTCTTTTTTTTCTCTTTCTGACCCAATGTCTTTTTTCTTGTGATTTTAACCCAATGATTCTACTATTTTATTTCCAATGACTGCTAGACTCTCCTACAGTGATAACCAGAAATTAATGGAATAGAAAGACGACGTTATATCAATACTTAAATGATTTGATGTTGTTATGAAAACACTAATTTAGTGTAATGGGTCTGTTTACACTGCACAATTACTAACTCTCATGCTTAGTGGACTATTTAAAGTTATAACTTGATGCTTAAAGTCGTCTTCCTATTTCAGAGTTTTCTGGTTATCACTGCACTATTCCAAGAAATTTTCCTCCAACTTTCTTTTTTTTTGTATAACGTTAATAATGTTTTCCTTTCATACTTGCATTTTAATTTTATTAAATGTAATTCCCTAACCACAGCTGTTCCTTGTAATGGAAAAATAAATAACCAAAAGTACGATTCCCTGCAATTATATGATTATTTTTGAATTTTAATCATCTACCGAGTTGGTTGAGAAGTTATCATTTTAATCACGTGATATTCCAGATAAACCTTATTAGACTTTGTATTTATCATATATATATTGTTGACATGTTCATGCAAAATTACTGGTATCTCTGTATATTAATTAATAAATATACAATGTATATATCTGTGTATAAATTAATGAATATATAATGTATAATGTATATATCTGCGTATAAACTAATGAGTATATAATGTATATCTTTGTATATAAATCAATGAATATATAATATATATCTCTGTATATAAACTGATGAATATATATTGCATATCTATGTATATAAACTAATGAATATTTAATGTATATTTCTGTATATAAACTGATGAATATATAATATATATCTCTGTATATAAACTATTGAATATATAATGTATATCTCTGAATATAAACTGATGAATATACAATATATATCTCTGTATATAAACTATTGATTATACATTGTATATCTCTGAATGTAAACTGATGAATATACAATATATATCTCTGTATAAACTAATGAATATACAATATATATCTCTGTATAAACTAATGAATATATAAATCACTGAGAGCCCTTCTTATTGTTCCAGGACAACAGCAACATTTCTTCGACTCCCGGCTGACCTACCACGCCTCTAGATCAGCCGTAGGCGTGGCTATGGGGGCGGGCTACTCCCTGTCTAACAATTGGGGATACAACAACTACTCCTCCTACCTGGGATATGGTGGGGCAGGAGTGGGCGTGTCTCCGTATCAGAGTGCTGGACTAGGGGCGTATACATCTCCTGTTCTTGATCCTCTTCTTCCTTCAAACCTTCCTATATCCTCTAATACAGCCTCCCCTACAAGATTTGTTTTTAAATTAAAATCGTTGTATGTAAACAGTCTTTAGTCGACTTTGTGAGTAATCTTTAAGGTTAAAACCGTAAATTTATATTTAATGATTGACAGGTTGAAGCAAATAGATTATCAAGTACAATAGGTGGCAACAGAGAAATTAACCAATTATACACGACGTCACAAGTGTCAAATATAACAAGGAAAGCGAAATTTTCTCACATTAGTTGACATGTTTTCCAAGATTAAATAAAAAGAGAAACTAAAGAACACATTAAATTGCACTTATTTTACTATAAGAAAAGCACTTTATTCTAAAATTATCACTATTATTGATGATTTTGTCGGACACAAAAACTGAATTGACACTTGTGACGACAGAATACAACTGTACTGAGAGTGTACAAATTCTACGTTGCCATCTATTGTACTAGATTCTATTTGGGTTGAAGTCTCTAGAAGGGGATGATTTATTTGGCGTACTGTCCTATTTTGCCGGCTAACGTCTGTTTATGTACAGTACAGTTTAATCTAGTCGCCCAACCGTCGGTTCGGTACCTCAAATAAGCTTAAGTTTTAATTGCAATAGACTCACAACATTGAGTGACGACGACATAACAGTTAAAGCTAATATCGTAAACTCCTGGTTTTGGGATTTCAACTCTGTGGTCTGCCATTTTTGACGGAAATATTTAAAACTTTGTCCAAATTTTAATTTACAAATCAAATACAATACAAATTGTCTACAGAAAAACCAACTTACAATACAATAAATATCGTTGTCATAATGAAGAACTATCGGAAGTCAAAGACGAGTTTGCAGTTGTCTCTGAATTTCTATTTTTATCGGGGCACCCTGTTGAGTGTTTTGAATAATCCTAAGAACATTGTATCTATTGAATCTTGGAAAACGAGACAAACATCTAAATCTTATTTTAGCTGAGAGCTCGAAGATTGAAAAATCAAGATTGCAAAAAACCACAAGTATTATTGCTTGGTTCAGGGTATACTCCCTTACTTTACTGTTCACCAATAAACAGTGGTTGGCTTAGATTGCCTATTTACTGCCTTCAAATATTGGCTTGAAAACTATGTAACTTTCCATATTCGATAATTTCAAACTATGAAACTGAGAAACTTTTAATATTTGATAATTTGAAACTTTGAAACTTTCAATATGTGATAATTAAAAACTTTGAAACTCTAAATATTTGATAATAATTTGAAACTTTGAAACTTTGAGAATTTGAAACGGACGGTTGGCAGTTTTTCTTCTACTTTTAAAGACTAATTAATATTAATTGTCTGTAAAAAATGCTAAGAGAAATTTAATTATGTTTTTTTTTCATTTTCATATTTAGTTTCAGAAATATTTATGAACCCCGAGAAAATAATTGATGAAAATTTGGATTCTCTAATTAAATTATCAAAAAAAAACTCTGTAAGAAGGAACCATAACATTTTGTTTTGTTGTCGAACTCATCGAAATTACGATGATGTTCATAAACTTTCAGTTCATAATTTTCAAACGAATTTTTGTAATTGTGTTCAGTAGTTCGGGTCTTCGGGATTCAGGGGCAAAGTTAATAAACAAATTCTTTGATTTCAAAATATTGTTAAAATAATGAACATTAAAAACTATCATGCGCTAATTCATGTTGAATTAAATAAGATAATTAAAAATGTTTTTATGTTAAAATGTGTAACAAAAAGAACGTAAACCCGTGGATTTTATTTATTATTTGGTTGGTTTTTGCCTGAGTCACTAGTTCTCATAGAGTTTGGTTGTTTTCTACTGGGAATAGTGAAAAACTTTATGATTAGAATACAATATATATATACATACAATAAAAATACAATATAAATACAATATAAAACATGTTTCTTACTACATCCTTTATTGGCCTTGATTTAGTTAATAGGTTTACAGGCTGCAGCAAAAAAGAGTTAACACAAATTTGATATTTTATTGCTTCAACTCCACACAAAAACAATTTGTTTGATACAATTATTCTACTGTCATGATTTTACAAATTTAAATAACTAAATGCTAAAACTGTTGTAAACCGTTATTTCACGTTATATGAAACCTTCTTATTGAATAGCTGTTAAAAATGTTTTAAATGTTATGAATTTCTCGTTTATAACCAAGAAAGGTATACCATCAGCACTCAGATATAGACAACTCTGAAGCTTAGTCATTACATTCTTATACTGCCTGGACTTTAAAGTGTCGCAACGCCTTGCCCTTTGGCATTACCTCATCAACTCACTTATACTTATTGTAGCCTTAGACATGCACATTATAAAAATGAAATAGCTTAAGTGTAAAAAGAGTAATTGGCAAAATACCGACCGATTTTGCGTGAGAACGTGCACATCTTGGTTTGAGGTGGTAATGAGTTCTTCCCGCAAACTCTGATTTTTTTCATCCCTATATCTTTGCAACCCTATGTCGAACACCTTTAATATTTCAAACTATTAATCAAGTTAGTTTAAAATATCAAAGGTTTACAAATCAAGCTGCAAAGATATATCAAAGAGAAAATTTGAGCTTCTGGCAAGAGCTCAGCTTCTGTGTTTTTTATATATTTGTGCGTAAAATCTAAGCTGAAAGAGCTCAGCTTCTGTGTTTTTTATATATTTGTGCGTAAAATCTAAGCTGAAAGAGCTCAGCTTCTGTGTTTTTTATATATTTGTGCGTAAAATCTAAGCTGAAAGAGAAAGTCGTGACTGCCATCTCCGTCTGTCTAGCTGAAAAGACATTTTCAGAAATGGACATTTTAAAGAAAAAGAGTGAAATTTTTACTCTAGTTTTTCAATATTTAATCAATGAATCTATTTCTTAAAAAGGCATAATCACTGCCATGTATTTGACATTAAATATACCACTTTCGGGAAGAAAAAATAACAAAAAAAAACATATTTTTAATGGAATTCAGAACTTTACCCAATTCAAATATTTGTTTAGTTTTTAAAAGAAAATTATGAAATCTTATCAATTTAATAATTAAATAGTTTAATGCTGATCACGTTATTTAAGTTTAACAATTAAAAAAAAGGTTATCAATGTTACCATTTTAATAGGAAATAACATTAACAATCATATTTTATAAAAAAATAGCCTGTCTTTATTTATTTTTAAATTTTTCTCTTCAAAAATTGATTTTAATCCAATAATATTTTGAATTAATAAATCAATTTTTGGAAGCAGAGAGAGCTTGAAATTTTGAATATTTTTTGAGCTTAAAATATACTCTACAGGATTTGGAGTCAAAGCAATGTTTGTAACTGAATTTTATTATAATGTTTAAATGGTTTAATGGTTCGCAGCAGAGCCATGGCAAAAAAGGGAAACGAGTTCTGCCACAAATTCAAATTTTCAAATCCCTACGTTTTTGCAAACTATTGGTGAACCCCTTTAATATTTTAAACTTAAACTTTTTGGTCTAAAAGAATTTATAGTTGCAAAGATATTGAGATTAGAGTTTGCAGTGAGAGCTTAGTTATTTTGCTTTCAGATTCCGTAATTTCTCAACGAAAGACTGAATCTTTTCGGTTTCAAATTCAAAATTAACAGTTTTGTGAAATCGTGCATTTTCTCATGGGCCGGATGGGAAAAAACAAATTCTAAAATTATGAATAATGAAGTTACATAACTGACACTCGCATATCAAACGCTAGATTATTTTCTCAGTAAATTGCTCCCAAGAAATTAAATAAAAAAAGATAAAACATAACGTACTATTTACTATTAGAAATCACTGTCTAAAATAGATGGAATATAGAAAAACCTTAAGAATCTATAAGCAGCATTTATACCATATTATACGTAAATTTAAAGTAAACATCGCTTTAGATTATTATCAATGTTTTGAACTTCTAGTAAGCATAAAGCAACTAAAAAATTTGACTTTCTCATGCTTGTGCTTAAAATCTATAGGGGCTACGATGTCACAATGTCGTATTAGTAATAAGTATACCTAAAAAATAACTAAATCGAGTTATTAATTTTGAGACAGAAAAAAGAAGATATCTTCGTCATCTATTCTTACTAAATTCTTGTGTAAAGAACACATGCAGAATTTTGGCATAGTTTTATAAAATTCAAATTGAATGCACATTGACGATTTTTGTTGGTGTCTGACAAAAACATCTCGCGATCTACCTTTATTAAGGCTTTATTAAATAAGAACATTTTAAATCTACTAGCTATTGGACTAAACCATTATAATTTTCAGGAGGGGAGGAAGGTGATACTAGCCCTGAATACCAACCCCCTGAACTACCAGAAATGGACGTCAAACCTATGATGAAAGGAAAAGATGAATATAGGTGAAATTTTAATTATATTACTCCCTATTTTCACCTATTCAATGTTCCCACCATTTTTATTTCGAAAGGAATTGAGTTTTTGTCACAAATTCAATTTATCTAATCCCTATAGCTTTGCAGCCCAATGCCGTAAACCTTAGATATTTCAAATTACTAATTATGTTGGATCAAATCAACCAAGTTTGAAATATGAGAGGTTTACACATTCCGGTTGCAAAGATATAGAAATAAAAAATTTGAGTTTGTGGCAAAAACTCAATTCCTTTCTTTGATATATTTCGTTTATTCATAAAAAGAAATATTCAGTCGTTAGAAAAGATTTTTTATTAATTACGTAAGATTGGTCTACTTGTGACTGTTACAAATTTTGGATTTTAAACAAATTAAAATGATTTCTTTATAATTTCAAAAAGAAAAAGGGATTTCTTAAGGATTGCTTTAATTTATCAGTTCAAAAGAGATTAAATATTAGTGTTACCATTTATAATTAATTCTTTTATCATTTCTAAGTAAATGTTTACTCATGTTTTTAATCCAAATAATCTTTAAGATAAGAAAATATGCCCTTTTTCTCGAATATGCACTGACCGTTACTTTGTAATTTTCTTGAAACCGTGTTTGTCATCAAACTTATAAAACATCCTAAATCAGAGCTTCTCCCTATTGGATTATCTCCACGCGTTGACATAATAACATTATTAAATAATGATAAACCCCAGCAGTTTTCATGACTTTTATTTTATTTTTATTTTACAAAACATACTGGCCATCCAATTTATAATGTAAAATACGCATAGAATGATTATGAAAACTTTCTGCATGCAAATTTGCGTGTAATCAATCAAGTTTTTGGAATTTTCTGATTGGGAAATTTTACTGTGAATTATCGTAAATCTCTGAGCTCTCAAAATGTACAACACAAAAGAAAAAAAAGAAAACACATTACGAAAAAAAATAAAAATAATTTTTTTTTTTTTAAGGGAATATAGGACTGAGGATTACCTTCCTACCAGTAGTTCACAACAGTTCTATTATAACCAACAAATGCATGCGCTTAATCATTCATATCTACCACAACAAGAGGTTAGTTTATTATATAATATATATATATAATATTAATATTGTTATCTTTTCCGTTTAATTCTAAAATGTCGATAAATTAAAGATTTTGTTCCTGAAATAAGAAAGTGTTCTAAACATCTTTAGAAAAATATAAATGCGAAATTTACAAATCCATTTCTTACGGTGCTCCCCCCTCGAAATAAAACCTTGAGCGTTCGTTAGGAAGATATTTCAGTGTTTGTTTAATTTAAGGATCTGATAGAAATGCTAGGTTCCAAATACAGAAATTCTGAAGCCAGTTCAATCAATAGATTACTATTTAAAAGAAAGGAATTGAGTCTTTGTCTCAAACTCTGATGTTCTAATCCCTATAGCTTTGCAATCCAATGTCTTAGATATTTCAAACTATGAGTTCTGTTAGATCAAATAATCTAAGTTTGAAATATCAAAGGTTTACACTATCAGGTTGTAAAGATATAGGAACTTGAAAAATTGACTTAACCCCTTTTAATTTTTCTATTTCTACAGGTGAGATCTGGATACATTCCTAGGGATATAACATCGGAAGAGTTCCAAGAGGGTGAAGAGGATTCCTCCTTGGATATCAAGCGAGGGGATATAGGACACTATGATAACGATATGCTATCACAGACCGGACCCATCCGAGGATATCCAAACAGAGGAGATGGATTTGTTTGGCGACCTTACTAAACAAATCAGATTTTTATCCAAATTCTGAAAAAATAGAAAACCCTAGAAACCCTTGATGTAAACCTATTTTTTCTCCTGATTAATCAGAATTGAGGATTGATCATGCATGTCGTTGTTCTCTGTACACCCTGTCAGACAACTGTAGCTTTGATAATATAATTTAGTTTTTCAAGTAAACCCCAATCATAGATTGGTAAACCAGACAATAACAGTGATAATTTGATAATTGTGTTTATTGAAAACAAAAAGTGACATCTTGTTTTCTAAGTTTTAAACAATCTAATTGTAAACTTTTTATGTAAAAGATATAGACCCAACGCGATAAAAATGTATTGCTATTTTTACGTTGATCCTGTTTTTGCTGCAAAAACTAATGCTTAATTGCCAAGAAAAATATCGAGCATTGTCTAAGTAAAAAAGCAGATTGATTTTGTGTAATTTCTTTAAGTTGTCTGATATCCCCGTCAAACATCTCCATGTTCGTGTGCCCATGACATCAACTGCAACTAATAGTATGCATCCAGGTATCCAGGTATCCAGGTATCCAGGTATCCAGGTATCCAGGTATCCAGGTATCCAGGTATCCAGGTATCCAGGTATCCAAGTATCCAAGTATCCAAGTGTATCCAGGTATCCTGGTGTCCAGTTATCCAGGTATCCAAGTATCCAGGTATCCAAGTATCCAAGTATCCAGGTATCCAAGTATCCAAGTATCCAAGTGTATCCAGGTATCCAGGTGTCCAGGTATTCAGGTATCCATGTATTCAGTTATCCAGGTATCCATGTATCCAGGTATTCAGGTATCCAGGTATCCAGGTATCTAGGTACCCAAGTATCAAGGTATCCAGGTATTCATGTATCCAGTTATCCAGGTATTCATGTATCCAGGTATCCAGGTATTCATGTATCCAGGTATTCAGGTCTCCAGGGCTCCAGGTATCCAGGTATCTAGGTATTCATGTAACCAGGTATTCATGTATCCAGGTATTCATGTATCCAGGTATTCATGTATCCAGGTATTAAGGTATCCAGGTATTCAGGTATCCAGGTATCAAGGTATCCAGGTGTATGAAGGTATTCAGGTCTTCAGGTCTTCAGGTCTCCAGGTATCCAGGTATCCAAGTATCCAGGTGTCCAGGTATCTAGGTACTCAGGTATTACGGAATCCAGGTATCCATGTATCCAGGTATCCATATATTTATGTATCCTGTAAAACAGGATATCTCAAACCCCAACTTTTGATTGATAATTGCCAAACCTTAAATTAAAGGTGAATTTTTAGTTCCTGTTATTGCTTCATAAATAGCGTAAACAAATTACGCATATTTATTGTGCAATACTCTGTATAGTGTACATTAATAATGTAACCCTAATAAATTTATCAACAATTTCGCCATTTTGATTTTTTAATTTTAATTTACCCATGGTACTAATGCACTAGGAAAGTTAATTGTGGTCGCGTATACTCTGCGCACATATTGAAACTGCAGTTCTCTCTGGGCGGAACTTGTAAACAAGAATAGATGCATCAGTGTTCGTTTAGTATCTGAGGAGGTTGAAAGCATTTAATTTGGATAATTTGGAAAATTCACAAAATAGTTTCCAATAACCAGAATATTTCATAGATTATTTTGGTGAAAATGGATTCCCTCTCAGGCTGTGACATCAGTCTTATGTTTACTTTTCCGCCCGAAGACAGTACACTGCAGTACAAAACAATGTGTACACCTTTGAAATAACTTTCCTTGCATTAATACCTTGATCATACCAGTCGTTTGGTGTTTGTTTGATCATAGACATAGAGAATAGAATATATATTAGAGGGGAATTTAAAGAATCTCTCGGTATGAATTTTTTCAGTCCCTTTAAGCCTGAAAGGGAGTTCAAAGTGTACAAATCATGTAAATGTTCACAAATTATATGTAGTAGAGTACATTAATACAGTATGTTCCCTAGACTATTCATTTCAATTTCGAATTTTTTAAAGCTGTTAAATAAACTTTATAATGAATTAGGTGAATAAAAAACATCATTTGATTTATAGTTATAACGGAAAATCATCGTTTGTAAAGGGAAAGGCATAGAGTCTATGTGAAATGATCATTGGTCAATTATGAAACCAGCCTATTTCATAATTTGGTTTTCTTTTAACATTAATTTTAGATTTTCTATAAAATGATATTCCCGGGCCCAAAAGGTTATATAGCATAAATATGTGAAGTACACCTGCAGTATGGAAACAGTACAACAAAATGGCCGTTTTACACTTTTTTCTAATAAATTCCCCTCTAATATATATTCTATTCTCTTTGATCATAGATCAGAACTTTTGCATGGAATATTGTAATCCTTGAACGCTAGAGCTCGCTTTCCAATATGGACACTTTTGAAATCAGAACTTACTTTAGTGGTGAGCATCTCGAAATCAATCCTTGATCTCCATCTCATGCAGACCTACGGATAAATTGAAATCTTTCGTCAAACCTTTAATTGAGAGATCAAACATTTTTCCTCAAAGGAATGTTTGTCAAACTATGTTTTTCGTATCACATATCTTTACAATTTGATGTAACGTTAAATTAAATTTTTTCTAACTATTTAGATCAAGAAGTCTAAGTTTGAAATATGAAAGGTCTAAGGATCTATAAGGATGCAAAGATTTAAGAATTTGTCTGTGGCACAAAAGCTCAATTCCCTTAAAAGTGTCCACAGAAGATATCAAGATCAAACATTCTAGATTAATGATCTCCCGATCAATTATCAAGAAATATTTGCAGATATGCATGACTTTAAATAATATGCAAGTAGAATACTGGGATATTTGAATAAATTCAGCTGATATTGGATAGAATACTTAGAGACTTATATGATTTTAGCTGATATTGGATAGAATACTGGTGTCTTAATATGATTTCAGCTGATATTGGATAGAATACTGGGAGATTAATATGATTTCAGCTGATATTGGATAGAATACAGGGAGATTAATATGATTAATTTCAGTGAATATTGAATAGAATACTGGGAGACTAATTAATTTCAGCTGATATTGGATAGAATACTTAGAGACTTATATGATTTTAGCTGATATTGGATAGAATACTGGGAGAATTATATGATTTCAGCTGATATTTGATAGGATAATGGGAGATTAATATGATTTCAGTGAATATTGAATAGAATACTGGGACACTAATATGATTTCAGGGTTTCTTAATATGATTTCAGCTGATATTGGATAGAATACAGGGAGATTAATATGATTAATTTCAGTGAATATTGAATAGAATACTGGGAGACTAATTAATTTCAGCTGATATTGGATAGAATACTTAGAGACTTATATGATTTTAGCTGATATTGGATAGAATACTGGTGTCTTAATATGATTTCAGCTGATATTGGATAGAATACTGGGAGAATGATATGATTTCAGCTGATATTTGATGGGATAATGGGAGATTAATATGATTTCAGCTGATATTGGATAGAATACTGGTAGACTAATATAATTTCAGCCGATATTGGATAGAATATTGGAAGAATTAATATGATTTCAGCTGATATTGGATAGAATAAGCTGGTAGACTAATATGATTTCAGCTGATATTGGATAGAATACTGGAAGACATATATGATTTCAGCTGATATTGGATAGAATACTGGGATAGATATTTATTATATAGATGTATAGAAAGATAGATATATCAGTTGAAATATAGTGTGGGAGCTAATAACAATATTCATATTTAATTATGAACAGAAGGTAAACATAAACAATCCTCACTTCCCCTCTACCACCTTATTGTGTATTATTGCTTCTGTCACCTATTATTATCATTATTGTTATTATTATTATTATTGTTAATTATATTTTTCATAGATTTAGTTTTCTAATCCTTATATTTTTGCATCCTGATGATGACCACTGATATTTTAAACTTTGATTTTCTGATCGAGCAGCATTCGTTTTTGAATTATGAAAGGTCTATGACATCAGAATGTAAAGATACAGGGATTAAAAAATCGGAATTTCTGTGTTAGTAATTTATATACAGAATTCAAGTTATAGTAAAAAATGCAAATAAGATATTTACATATCAAGTTCGAAAAAACCTTTAAAAGTACTTTGCACAAATATTTCTTGTATTTTTAAGGGTGGTAAAACTCTTAATTGTTCTGCGATAGCTTTAACTCAGTATTCCAAAAAAATTTAAGTATGATTTTTGTAACCATAACTTTCACTCGGGAAATTTTCATCTACTAAATTAAACTGAAAAGAAAAATGTTTCTTTGAATATTCAGAAACCTTATAATTGTTTCCATGAAAATTCCTTCTAAAGTTATTCTAATCAGAATTATTAAACACTTTTTCTTTAACCTTTACGAAATTAGTTTCCAATTTAATTAATTTATCTTACCTTTTATTTACTTTGATGACGCGAGTGGCCAGTATAAAAGCTGAATATGCCTTTGGTCAGATATCAATTCACACACAGCCATCATGAAGATAGCAGCTAACTTAAATTTTCGAGATATATTAACCATTTTTCTGGGAATATACCTCTTAAACAACTCTAAACTAAACTTTAGAACAAGTTTAGTTAAAGGCATTGATGCATTGTACTGGGGTCTATATTGGTTGGAGGGTATAGAGGAGTATAATCATAATATGGGGTACATGCAGGGAAACTGGGCTCCAGTCTCAACACAGTTGGAACAACATCAAGTAGAGATTGATGGAGAACTTCCTGGAGACCTGGTTGGAGGCATGTTTGTACGAATGGGAGCAAATACCATATGTTGGCCTCCAACTGGAGTTCATCACGCATTTAATGGCGAGGCAATGATCCATATGGTCACTATTAAAGACGGAGAAACCTTAGAATATACCAACTCTTTGATTGACAGTAAACCAGAAGACAGATTAAGTGCTTTCAGTAATGAAACCTGCCTTGGCAATTCATGTGGAGTTCCATACTTTGGCTTTGGCGACCTTAATCGTGGCGGTTTTGCGCTTTTAAGACTGCTTCTGGTAAAATTGAGAGCCAAAATTATGAATTTAAACACACCAACACAAGAGAGGCTTCAACCTGGCTCCACCTCACTAATAACTCATGCCAATAAAACCTATACTGCCTCCGAGATTGTTCTTCCTTTTGAGATTTCTCTTGAGAAAGACGGAGTGTCCCCCAAAGGTTTCTCAACTTTTGACGGTCTACTGGCGAACCAAACATTTGGACCTGAAGAGGGAACCATGTCTGCCCATCCGAGAACAGATCCCACAACAGGAGAACTTCTTTTCTTCTCCGCTAACTTTGGTTCTGGAGCAGTGCCATTTGTCAACTTTGGAAATCTCGATGCTGATGGACTGCCTAAGAAGTATATTCAGATTCCAGTACCCAGTCCTCCAGCAGCCTTTTACCATGACATGTTTTTAACCAAAAACTATGCAGTCTTTTTCCACAGTTCATTAAAGAAAGACTCATCAAGGTTGGCAAAGATGGAGACTCTCACATATTTTGATTCAAACTCAAACTTGGCTTTTGGAGTTCTTCCTAGGAATGCCACCTCTCATGAGGATCTCATTTGGATCGAGGCTCCTAACCCAGGTCACATTTGGCATACTATTGGAGCAAGAGAGGATGGAGATCAACTAACATTATTTGCCCCAAAGTTTGAAAATTATTCCAATGATGTGCAGATCCACTTGGACACCGAGGAGAGTAGTTATCTGACCAAGTTTGTGCTTAACCTCAACACCAAAGAGTGCACTGAGCAAATAATCTTTGACGAGGTTGTGGAGCGTCCGACAGTAAATCCCAATGTCATGTCACCCACATTTGCTTATTTGAGATCTGAAGGCAAAGAATCATCTGAGATGGGAAGACATATTGTTAAATTCAACCTGATTACTGAGGAAGCAGAGGGCGTTATAGAATGTGGAGTAAACTGCCATTTTGGAGAATCACTTTTTGTTCCACGAGTCAATTCATCCTTGGAGGATGATGGATATCTCATGGACATCCCCTACTATAAAGACACACACAGTTCAAGATTCCTTGTCTGGGACACTTTGAGACTTGAAACTGGAGTAATTGCTTCTGCAGAATTACCACAACGGGTTCCATACGGGGCACATGGGAAATGGCTGGAGAGCTCCTTCTTCCAGTAGAGAGAATAATTTTGATGAAGTTAGATCTGAGTTTTTCCACAAATATTCGTTCTGTACGCTATTCATTCAGATCAGAAACCTGACTACATAGATATTTTTAATATACATATAATATAAATATAGAATAAACAAATATTAACAATCTTGCTAATCACTAGTTTGTAGGAGATTATAAGAATAAACCTTTTTCATTAAGTTGAGATGTATGGCCTAAAGTGGACCACAGTATGTCATAGTATAACGGGGGGATGCTTCATATTTTTCTTTTCTGAATCTGAAAATTCCATATATTTGGCAAGTTAATGTATTGTTCTTCTTTCAGCAAATTTTAAACTGGCTTGGTAAACTTTATGCATTCTAAATTTATAACATTTTCACAGTTTTATTATAAATATCAAATTTCTCTTTGATATCAGTAAAAATACTAAACAACTTGATTTTGATACGCCCCCTCTCTCTTGGAAGACAAGGTAATAAAATTAGGATTACATTTTAATTACTGCGTTTCAGCTTCTTGAACAGCAAGGTTTGTGCAAATTTTAGTTTGTTGGGTAATAATTCTCTATATTGTTTGTTCACCGAGGCTTACTACGCTGTAGGAAACCAATTCTTGGTTAGAGACAGTATCATTTTAAGTTTGTGAACAATTTATTCAGTAAAATGAATTGTTTGTCCCGAGCTTGTGTTGAATACCCATAATCCCGATACCTTGATCTTGATATCCACAATTTGCACTTTTGAATTTTACGCAGAATCTGCTTTGATGTTTTGATTTCAGATTTCCGCAATTTTCCTGTTCTCTCATTTGTTGTATGCAAAACTCTTTGCCTTCCTATTGTTTTCACCATTTATTAGGCATAATAAGATGAATTTTAGGCACTCACTGGTTATCAATAAAATATCAATTAAAATTAATCTGAAGATTAATAAACGATCAAGATCAATGAGTGATCTCAATATCCACGATCAAAAAATTTCCATCTGAATTGACCAAAGCCCAGAACTAACTGTCTGATTAGGCTGTTTCTAGGATGAGTAAACTCTGTATCTGAAAGTCTAACCACATCGTTACCTACTCTCATCATTTATTAAGATCATAAAGAAACCATTTATAAAACCTTAAACTCAATCTCTCACACTACAGGCTCAAGTTTTAACTTAATCTATCACGAGGGAAAACGGACGATTGGCGACTCTTTATCCGAGCCACTCAAATTGTTGCGTTTAAAGGGACTGTAAGCGTAATTCCAATTGACCCTCGACATGCAAAGATGGCAATGTCCGATTAGCAATGGTGCCCTTTAAAGCTTTGTCCCATCAAGTGTGAATTAGATATGCATCTTTTGTTTTATAAGTGTTTATGTTTATTTGTGGTTTCTTTGCGTAAGAATCGGAGAATTTCCAAATTTTTTATGAGATTAAGTTTTCAAGGGTACTGTATAAAATAGGGCATTGTATCTTTGTACGGAGGGTCACTTATAATTACGCTTCCAGTCCCTTTAGATGCATTCAATCAATCATTTAATCTATCTATCTATCTATCTATCTATCTATCTATCTATCTATCTATCTATCTATCTATCTATCTATCTATCTATCTATCTATCTATCTATCTATCTATCTATCTATCTATCTATCTATCTATCTATCTATCTATCTACCTATGTATTCATCTATCTATCTATACATCTATGACTGGTATGATGAAAGGTAAAACGATCTGCGTGAAAATAATAATTGTTTCCTTGCGTGCTAATTGCCTTGTAGTCTTTACCAGTTCTATTCACATTGTTATTACTTTCCGTCATAACTGCGCCAGTGCGTTCTCTTTACCAGTTCTATTCACATTGTTATTACTTTCCGTCATAACTGCGCCAGTGCGTTCTCTTTACCAGTTCTATTCACATTGTTATTACTTTCCGTCAGAACTGCGCCAGTGCGTTCTCTTTACCAGTTCTATTCACATTGTTATTACTTTTCGTCAGAACTGCGCCAGTGCGTTCTCTTTACTCTTTTATAAGGGATTTTTCCAACCAGTTTAAAAACTTAAATCCTTCAGAAATGTTATATCCTAATGTAAAACGGTGTTCATAATAATATTTAAGGTTTTCCTTTGGATGTAAAAATTATCACTTTTTGTCTTCCGCCTTTCTTTCTTTTTCTTACTTTCCTTCTATTCTATACTCCTTTCCTCCTCCTTCTATATATCCAGTCTTGTCTATAGTTAGAGAGAGTTGAAAACCCACCGGAGCAGAACGCAAAGAGTAAACGCAAAAAATACATGAAAAGTTAAAATAACAATAATTTTTATTATTCTCTCCAACCTCAAACTAGTTTAACTCATGAAACTAGACTCTCAGCAAATATATTCTTGGGAAATATGATTTTTGTTGAAAACTGGTCCTTTGTCCTCTTAGTTCTACTCCTATATTTATATTTTTTTTCTTTTTTTTTCTTAGAATGGGGGAGATATTCCCACAACCTCTACTTTTGGAAGCTTTTAAGTATTTTCTCTCGAAACACTTAATTTTGTATGTGTTTGTTATATTTCATAAATAAATAATTGTTTACTTACTTAACTTACTGAAACTTGTTCTTTTCCTAAACCTTGTATATTTCTAAACCCAGTCCTACTCCTAAATCTTTTCCTTGTCCTACTTTCAAACTTTATCCTAGTCCTACTCTTGTCAAGTCCTGCTCATAAACCTTGTTCTATCTATAATGTCCTAGTTTAAAATCTTGCTTTGATCTTTGTCCAAGTCCTAATCGTTGATTTAAACCAAGTCCTAAAAACAATACATTTTTCTAGATTATAAATCGTTTTTTACCATTAGGTTGCAAAGATGAAAAGGGTAGATTTTGTTGGAAGTACTCAGATTAAAACCTTGCCTTAGCTTTACGCATATCATGTCCAATAGATCAAAAGATTTATAAGTATTTTGTCTAATTCATCTAATTGATCAATTAGACAATTGGCGGATTACTATGTGAAATGATCGACTAATGAATTGATTGACTGATCGATGAAACCATCGTTGGTTTAAAATTACTGATAATTTGTCATCCTCTGGTTAGCGTTAACTGTTTGTATAGCAGAGACCGTAAGAATAATGTTTTGAGGTTTTTGTTAATTTTCACCCAAACACTCACTTATTATACTTTGCGGCCAGTGCGGCTTTGCTCCTAGGTCTCCAAACCAAATCTACGTAAAAAGAATTGACTCAAAGTTGTTTATTAGATCAGAAAGAGTAGTTTAAAGAGACTGTAAGAATAAAAAGCTGCACCAACTCTAGACTTGGTTGACTTAAAAGAGTCGCAACGCCCTAACAATCGATTTTAACTCATTAACTTACTTGTACTTTTCTGTAGCCATAGACATGTACATTTTGAAAATATTAAGTCTTGGTCTAAAGTTTTAGTTTTCAAAAAATAATTGGCACAACTATTGTCGATTTTTGCGTATAATCTTTGGTTCACCGTGAGACGTCAGTTAATGAACGAGGAAGAAATGATCGTTTTTCCATGTTAAAAATATTCTATTCTGTTCATTCATTTCATTGACTCTGAATTATAAATCCGCAAGCCCCAATTTAGAATCTTTAATTTTCAGATATAAAATCAAAGAGTCTCTTTCATCCTTGATAACACAAGGTTTAGATGGATACCGTTGTAAATCACTCTTAAAAGAAAAGTTACTTGAAGTTACAAACAACGACAAATTCAAGCCAAACCGCTTTATCGGAGATGGCTACCAAAATAGGTATTGAATAAATATAAAATAATGAAGGAAATAGGAAATAACCCCCCCNACTATACACGTAATTAATCTAACCTTTAAAGGAACTATACACGTAATTAATCTAACCTTTAAAGGAACTATACACGTAATTAATCTAACCTTTAAAGGAACTATACACGTAATTAATCTAACCTTTAAAGGAACTATACACGTAATTAATCTAACCTTTAAAGGAACTATACACGTAATTAATCTAACCTTTAAAGGAACTATACACGTAATTAATCTAACCTTTAAAGGAACTATACACGTAATTAATCTAACCTTTAAAGGAACTATACACGTAATTAATTTCAAACTTTTCTAATTTACAACAGTATAGAGGTCGTGAGGACGGACTCTAATAATGCACAGAGATAACTTAAACCAGTATATATTTTCAGTATAATAGAACAAGGGTTCGAACGAATTGTTTATATCCTGCACGAGATGAGAACTAGGAAGATGCTCCGTCTTGTTCCAGCTTCCAGAGTCTTGTTTGTGGAACTATCCTAAGGAGGCAGATAGTCGTCTTCCAAAATAGGGTGTTTTGATGATTTTTTATACTTTAAAATATAATTCTTTATTTCCCGGGAGTCACAATTTTTGCAAAAACCGTGTTTGATATAAAATATTTGGAATTATAGGCTTCTTTTTTGAGAAATATGTGAAGTCATTCCAACATAGTTGACGCTAGTTTGCAAACAGTTTTTAGAGAAAAAAAATAAGGATTTTACTATCGTCGAAGATCAGACAAAGGTTTAAAGGATTAAATTACGTGTTAGGTCCCTTTAAAACTAAAAATGTCAACAAAAAATACAATGACCAACTTTTTTTTTTTCTCAGAATCGTTTGTATCTTAAAATTTGAAAATATAAACCTACCCCCCCCCCTAATCCTGCCCTGTCATTTTTGCATATTATAGCTCCCTTTTATATTCCCTTTGTTTTGAACTAATTGAATTCTAATGTTGACCCTATACAGAACATTATACCCTTCTGGATATGAATATTTTAAATATTTATACATTTCCATTTTCGGCATTTTAAGTTTTACCTAAAAAGAGGTTAGGGGGAGCGGAGGGGATATAAAATAACCTCCCTCCTGAATATTCTAATAAATTAATGCTTTAGTCCTGAAAATGCATACAATTAAGTTGATCTTATATTAAGTAATTAATTCCCAGTTGTGCTATTTTTGCCTAATATATATGGAGAAGTG